ACCTTTTTAGCCTTACCTCTGTTACCATTGCCACTGTTAATTGGCTGTAAAGCTGTATTTTGTGCTTTGAATGCACTGTGCATACTACTTCTCCCCTCCTGTCTTGCAGAGATGCTGAGGTAAATGCTTGTGTCTACCCTCAGTCTTGCAAGTGAGCACAAAATGATCAGGCGGAAAGCCATCAATCATTATAATGCAAAAATTCTGCAGAGACCATAAAGAAATATTTTCTTCTATCCTTTCTTTTAGTAATTAAAAGAACAGAAAAATTTGTTTCTCTTCACAGCAGAGTGTTTCTGTGTTTGTGTGAATACAAACATTATAGGGCTTGATTCTGTGCATTTTGCAATGAGTACAGCTAAACAAGAAGCTGGAGACACAGGGATTCGCATCTTCTGTCTCTCCTGGTTTCTGGGTTGCCCTGGACAGCAGAAGTATGATTTAGACAAGCTCCTCAGGGGCTCTGCCCATCTCTAGGGATTATTTCAGCTGCCAGGAGCATTACTGTGCTACCCTAGGGCAGAGTATTTTGTGTATTCTGCCTCTCATGCCTATTACAGAGCTGCAAGGAAGGAATCAAGCTCATTGAACAAAGCTGTTGCATCCTAGCTCAAGAGCTAATGCAGTTTGGTGCGCAGGGAGTCTAGCAGTGGGGTGTGGAATTATTTCCCTTCAATCCAGCATTGATGTAAAGGCTGCAGTGTCAAGTTCATGAAGCCCATAGCTATTGGCGTAGAAGTATTTACAAGTTAAAGTGCATGCGTTTAGAAAATCAGGTAGTTTGCAGCTGTGGATACTACTGATCTATGCACTGGAAAAGTTAACTATCATTAAAAGGGCTGCCCAAACCACAACACCTTGGCATTTGTTTTTGCTGTATTTATCACTTATCGCTCTGAATCTAGACCATATGCCTAATTCAGTGCATCGTTCTATTTCTGATATGCACAGATAAGCATCCATAAAACAGATCTGTGATGAATGTTTTGTGGAGATTTGAGAGACAGTGGAAGGAAAAAGAAGCAATGCAGGAACGTGAGGTAGGCAGAGTGGTTTAGCGAAGCTGGTGCTGGTGAGACGTGCTTTCAATGACCATGGGAATTCCTTCAAGCTGCGAGTTGTACACAGATGTAACTGTCTTGACTGAGAAGTACAAGCATTTTCACCTACAAAGCCTGCAGGCAGAATGGCATGGGTGGTCAAGTCAATAAGGAAAGGAAAGGGCTAGCCTAAACTGAGAAGGTGCAGAGGAAGACAGGCTGGCTTCATTACATGCAGAATTGCTGAGTGAAAGGAATGTTACCGTGCTTTAATTGCAAGAAAACTGGTGTCCACCATTACTTGAATGAGATGATGGAATTAAAAGAATTAAGGAAACTTTTGTGTTAACAATTCTTTTCATCTGTTAAAAAGGTGGGTTCACTGAAGGCATATTATATGTTCCAAGATAGGCTTCTGTCAGTTATGGTGTTTCTTCTTTTCATGGAAGATTAATGTGACCTTGAGTAAAAGGTTTCCTCCTGGGGGGGAGGGGAGAATAAGAACTGCACCAGGAAATTTGGCTAAGGGCATGCAGCCGAGGTGGCTTTCCACTAAGGGGAAAATGGGCTGGAGAGGCATTGTAACTAATTTGGAAATGCAAACAGAATGTTTGCAAATAGAAGCAAATAGACCTTGTGGTAGGGGCTTGTTACTCATGGCCCAGAAAAGCCTCGGCTTACTTCATGTATTGTATGAAGAACAAAATAATAACAGCTTCAAATGGGACTGGTTTTGTCTTTTTTGGTGGGAGGGAGGAGGCAAAGGGGGCATTTGTCAGCCTTATATGAACTTAGTCTGTTCAAATTCTTTTAGTAGATGACTTTCGTAATAAATAACAATGAAATTAGTAATGATTTCTTAGCATGATAACATTTCAAATAAAAGTAATAATAATAATAAAAAAAATCCCTAAACAAATCAGACCATATAAGCAATGTCTAAGGATTCTGTGTTTAGATGCTTCATTTAGACAGGATTGCACCCTGAATTGTGAAAATGCACAAAAGCCTACACGCTAATTAATTATGTGCTAGGGTAGGTCAAAGCTCAAGTCAATAAACCTTCCAAAATGTTGCATTTCTTCTAAGAAACAATGAAGAAAAAGCTGTGTGATACTCTATAAGACTTTTGTTGTTACTGAAGTTGCTGTTTTTCTAAAAGTCAAAATACACTGGGTAGTTAAAAAAGGTAGCCAAAGTACTGCATATTCTCTGGAAAAAGCATGAAAGACACTCCAGGGAAGTCTTTTTAGTGTTGGGAAATAAATATATTTAGGGAGAGGGAGGAGGGGGGCGGAAGTAAAATCTTGGTTCTCAGAGCATAAGCCTGATGTGGTTAGCTCAGCTATAGAGCTATGTGTGTGACATGCTTGTGGGGACTGGAGAAGATTTCACAGGAGCTTACTGAATTACAGAGGCACACTTGAGAGAATTATTTCTCAAAGGCAAGCAGGACTTTAAAAGAAATGCGGTTACTACTGTGTCATGTGATCTTTGCATACAAGCAAACAAAAGAAACAAAATGTCTCCTTGCTTTCTGTCCTTGCTCTCCTAACAGTAGTCAATTCATGTTGATTTAAATAAAGAGGAAGTGGTTTGGTTTGTTTTTTGTTTTTTTTTTCCCAAAACTCATTATTTCCAGTAGCTGAGCCACCACTGCACCTGGTATTCTATGCTTATGACTTGCTTTTCATGAATGTTTAGACCTTATAGGGCATCTATTAACTGTTATGTCACTCTCCCATAGAAGTTGACCAAGCCTAGTGGTTTGTAGTATTTCACTGGTCCAGAAAGAGTTTATAGTAAACAATATTTGTTTCTAAAACAGAAGACCTTTATTAACCTGAGTAAGCGTATATATAATGCACTTGGGTTCAAATGTCAATACAACTATGCTAAGGAGTGTAATAATATGTTAAGTGGAGCTGTTTTTACTGTTTTAGACACAGCATTGTTTACTGTGCATTAGTAATGTACTTCATGTTGTGTACTTTGAGACAGTAATACGTTTCTTGCTTTTTCATTTAGCTTTAAAGTGTGTAGCATATTTGAACTAAGCAGCGATTAACAATTAAGTGTTAATGTTTATATCCTGGTCTTTAGTCATGCTATTAACATTCACATGGAGATAGATTTACCCTTAGAAGGCTGCAACAGCTTCCGTGTGTATAAACTGCAAATTAAATGACTGCGTGTGCCAAGTAAAACAGTGGCGTTTCTGTGGACTGTATGTCATAGCATAAGCTGAGGTTTACATTGCAGGAGTATGGCTGTTACTCATTCAGGTGATCCGTGATCTGTTTCCTACTGATCCTTAAAAGCAGATCAGGATGTCAACTACTTCTGTTGGTGGAATCTGAAAGCTGCAGACATGGTCATTACGCAAAGGGGAGCACACTGGTCTCATGTTGTATGTGTCCATGTTTGCAGTTTCCTGGACACAGGAGTCCTGGATGAGAGTCCTTGCAGAGATGTTGGTTCAGTGACTCCTTATAGCTGGTTTATCTGAGAACTCCTTCTAGTGTGACTTCCTGAATACAGGCTACGTGGCTCTTGTTGGGAGCGTGTCCCTGAGATTGCCAGGTACTTGCATTTTAAAAAGCGTAGCGCAGTGGGTTCAAACTGTTCCAATGTAGTAAGTATCTTTAGGAACTTGTATCTAATGTCAGCATCCAGCCTTCCGATCTGGTTACATCATTGCTCGTGTGATTGAAAAGCCTCCCTCTGCCTCGTGGTCTCTTTTGGAGGTACAAATACTTGTATACAGTTGATCAAATTAACTCTCAAATTGCACCTTGAAAGCCAAATAAGTTTCATTTTTACAGTCACTTGGCACTGTGGGTTTTCCAGCTCCTATTGCCTCTTGTGACATTTCTTGGGAACGTTGCCGGCATTTTGTTTATTTAAACCTTTAAATGTAGACAGCAAAACTGGGTGCATTCTGACAGCTGCATTACCAGTGCTGTGCAGAAGCAAGAATATTTTTTGTTTCTCCTGTGAAGCTCCTTTCTTACTCTGTATGAGGAGTCAGAGCAGCCCTTTCCACTACAGTTTCACATAAGACTTCATGGTAAAGTGTTACTCATAATGATTCCAAACCGTCTCCTACCAATATATAGGACAGTACTGTGTGGTGCTTTTCAGACTTACCTGAACCATCCTGTCCCTGCTATATATCATCTTGAAACTTGTATTACAAACTATCTTGCTTCCTACTCCTTCTGCAGAACCATTCTGCCAGTTGGTCTTGTAAGACTTGTCTCCAGTACGAGGCAGCTGGTGCACAAGGTAGATGTTGAAAATAGTGAAAGCTGGCGATTGCTTCTGACCGCATGCCTGTGCTCACGGCTGTCTGTGTCCAGGTAGGGCCTGGGCTGGAGGGAAATGGGAAGCTTAGCAGGTGGGCTGAAACTGCTTCTGCTAGGATTTGGCAGTCTGGACTTGAAAGCAATTTGAGTCTGTCACACTCTCCCCAGGGCCATTGTGCTCATTATATGTCAACTGTGGAATCTAATCAAAACAGGGATTTGTTTTGGTTTGGTTTTAAATTGATAGGAATTTGTTGGTAGAGTAATTTCATTGTTTTGCCTAGGACATGCATTAGGCTGTTTTGTTGTTCAATCAGGATTTCTTAAGGAAATTCAAGCAAATGGACCCTGGAGCAGCAGCTCCACACACTGGATATTGCTGTGCTGTGCTGTTAGATTCCTTAAGGCCATTACCCTAGCTAAGGCCTATTCCTTTTCGGGTACTTGGTCCTTAGGAACTGCAATTAGTGTTGCCTGCCTTTGCAAACAATTAGTTGGGGAATATACCTGGTTTTCTTCTATTCTTTATCAGTGTAGTTAAGATAGTAAACCCTTGACTGCAAAGAACTGCAAGGGATTCATTTTATATACCTCCTGGAGGCACCTAAGGAATTGCACGTACTGAAGGGAAAACCTAAATCTACAAACCAACCCCCAAATCTCATCAGTTGTTTCTTTGGATTGTGTTCTAATACAGGCTGCAGTGCAAGCTTCTGAGCAAAAGGAAAGTATACCTGTGGCAACCATCTGGTTCTTGTCAATTTTTTTTTTTTAAATGGGACTTCAGCAAAAAACTGAAGGAGTACTCTCAGCCCTTCTGTGAAGCTTGCACTTCCCTTAATTCTAAAGAAGAGATCTGAAGAAACTGAAAAATCTGTCAGCATTATGAGTTGCTGTATTATAATTAAATTTGGAAAAAATAGTGATAAAATCTCTCAGATGTACGTTTTGCGATTCCAGTGACCTAAGATGTTTCATGTGGTTGAAATACAAAAATGAATTATGTTTTTAGAAATGGCTGAGAATTCCAGGTCCTTTCAGTCAGAGAAGATGGTTGTAACTACAGTCTATAACTAGAAATACATCATCGATTCCTGGATGAAATATAAGGATACTAAAGGGTCAGAGTGTCCTTTAAGGAAGTAGCAAATTTAATCTGAACCCAGGTCCTGTGATTTGCACTTATAATGTATCTTAACTTGTTGAAAATGCTCTTATTTAAATAGGCAAATATTAATTGACGGCTATTTTATTTGTAGTTCTCCTTATCAAATAATTCCTCCAAAACCAAAATCTCAGGGTTCTGAAACACTGGGACTTGCTTAGGCACTAATCCGTCTGATACTTAAGTAATATTTTAGGAGGCTTCAGTCATTGGTGTCACTAACATAGATACTTTGCTAATTTAAGTTTATCTATATGGATGATAAGCATGAATAACCTTTTGCTTTCAGGTTGATACTCATATCCATGCTGCTGCTTGCATGAACCAGAAACACTTACTGAGGTTTATTAAGCACACGTATCAAACGGAGCCCGACAGGATTGTTGCAGAGAAAAAAGGCAAGAAGATGACTTTAAAGCAAGTCTTTGAAAGCCTTCACATGGACCCTTATGACCTCACTGTAGACTCTTTAGATGTCCATGCAGTAAGTCTATTAAAATGACAAATGAGAAAAAGCTAAGTTTTCTAAGTGTGAAATTCTGATTTCTGCAGTTTTTGTATGATAACTTATTAGATCAGAATTTAAACTTGTGCATTACTTTGCATGTTTGAAGGAAGTTAGCATAGGCTTTTTCTTTTCTGTGCCTTTTATTGCGAGGCAATTTATTTTATAAACTATGGTGTGTACTTAAAACCATGGTTATTTGGGTTATTTCCTCCTCCAGGGTCGTCAAACGTTTCATCGATTTGACAAATTCAATTCCAAGTACAATCCAGTTGGTGCCAGTGAGCTGAGGGACTTGTATTTGAAAACTGAGAACTACATTGGTGGTGAATATTTTGCTCGTATGGTCAAGGTAAATAAGTTTCAAGCTTTTCCAGCTGTAGAGAAATGAAGGTTTGTAGAAGATTTGTAATGCCACAATTGTATCTAGAGCTAACACTATGGTTAAGTGATTCCAAGTATTGGGCTTGCTCTAGCAATTCATCAGAGAAAGACCTCTGCTAAGTCAGCCACTGCTGCTTTTTAAATAATTTTATGAGTTAGAAACTCATACGCATAACCTGTGTATGAATTCAAAGTAGAGTCGTGTGCAGTTTCAAACTAATGGAGAGCAGCCAAGGGTCAGTTCACTGGCTTAATATTTTGTTAGGATGTAGTTGGTTAGTGGTAGCTGCTAGGGAAGCGCCTCTGCATAAATCTGTCTTTGCACGTGCATGCACAGGCTTCAAATTAATTTCTTACAACAAAAGAATTAATAGTTTTCATGAACTAGATATCGGGTCTTCTTAGATGTACAGAAGTGCTTGTCTAAAATTAATAGCCTTAAAATTGCTTACTACCACTGATTCTGGGTCAGCTTCTCCATTGGTCTGCATGTTTTATCTAGTCATTTACTACAGTTTAAATAGTGTAATTCTGATTTACTGATTTTAAACATCTGTCTTATGAAGGTGCTACTAATAACTGCACAAGAATATTGTCCTCTAAATCTAGGTGTTACAGTTGGTTATACTCAAATGATATCTGAGATGGCTTGCTAGTAGAGTATGTGGATGTCTAAAATAAAATAATAGATTAATAGACAAGAGATTCCCTTTATCTTTAAAGGGTGTCAATACAGTTATGTCTGGTCTGAGGAAAATACAATGATAAATATACTACTAGCTGTAAACGATCTTCAGTGTCCTTATTAATGCAAATATATTTATTACTTAATAGGAAGTAGCCCGTGAACTAGAAGAAAGTAAGTACCAGTATACAGAACCCCGCTTATCCATTTATGGACGGTCTCCAGATGAATGGCTGAACTTGGCAAAATGGTTCATTAAGCATAAAGTTTATTCCCCTAATATGCGCTGGATAATTCAGGTTCCCAGAATCTAGTAAGTAATCAGGACCTCTTAGTAATTTTAATAGTTTGAAATCATACCAATCATTTGTTTTAATTTCTGATATTTTTTAAATGGTTTATGAGCTGTCCTGTAGTTCTCTTTATAAGCAACAGCCTGGGAAATTTATTCTTGACCATTGCTGCAGTCTCCCTGACAGCCTGGGGGTGGAAGACAGGAGATGGGGTTCGAATCTACTCTTTATGAGGTTGCTCAAAACTACTGTGTATTATTTCTAAGTCTGAAGATACTAAAACCAAAATGACAACTGGGTGAAATTAAGCTGCAGTCAAAGGCAAGTTAAAATACAATTTAGTAATGAAAATAAATTGACTCTTGAATTCCATATAAAGGAGTAGAAAATGCTCTGTAAAACTGTTATAGAATCATAGAATTGTCTAGGTTGGAAGAGACCCTTGGGATCATTGAGTCCAACCATCTACCCTACTCTACAAAGTTCTCCCCTACACCATGTCCCCCAACACCACATCTAAACGGCTCTTAAACACATCCAGGGATGGTAACTCAACCACTTCCCTGGGCAGCCTATTCCAATGCCTGACCACTCTTTCTGTGAAAAATTCTTTCCTAATGTTCAGTCTAAATCTACCCTGTTGGAGCTTGAAGCTGTTCCCTCTCGTTCTGTCATTAATTACTTGTGAGAAGAGACCAGCACCAACCTCTCTACAGTGTCCTTTCAAATAGTTGTAGAGAGCGATGAGGTCTCCCCTGAGCCTCCTCCTCCTCAAACTAAACAGTCCCAGCTCCTTCAACTGCTCTTCATATGATTTGTTTACTAGGCCCTTCACCAGTTTCGTTGCCCTCCTCTGCACTCGCTCCAGCACCTCGATACCTTTCTTGTATTGAGGTGCCCAAAACTGGACACAATACTCGAGGTGTGGCCTCACCAGTGCTGACTACAGGGGCACAATTACCTCCTTACTTCTGCTGGCCACGCTATTTCTAATACAAACTTCCTCAAGATCAGTGACTAAATGACAGTGAACTTGGAAAGGAAACCCAGATTGCTGATTTGCAAGCTTAAATCAGTATCAAGTATCAGTTTCTCTTAGATTTTAAGCATCCTTTGGGATTTTATCAAATGGTTTTTGTTTCTAATACTGTACATTGTAATACAGTCTCCCATGATAATTTTTTCAGCCTTAATAGCTGGGCTTCATGTTTTGAAATTGCATAGTTGCAGTATGAGTAGAGAAGGGGCTGTCATGGTTGCATATATCCCCCAGAGTGTCTTTCTCGTTAGGGAGAAAGTTCCTCCTCTTTAATTTCTGACATAGCAATTTCTTGCATACATAGCAGAATCAACACTTTCATTAAGTCATGCACTTAATGACACACTGCCATACTATCCCTCTTTTCTGAGAGGCTCACTAAAGCAGAACATTCTACTTTCATTTGGAGTGGTTACAACTTTGGAAAACTGAATCTTTCACAAGAGGTAATTCCTTATCTCCCCTATTAGTACTTGGATTGCTGTAAGGGAAAGGGTCGCTGTTCTTGAGACAGCATCTACCCCTGTGTATTGTCTATAATTTTGAAGCACTTGGGAGCTTCAGCAGAACTTGGATGAAGCAAAGTCCGGGGCAGTGCAGGAAACAGGACAGAGACGATCCCTGCTCTGACATAAGCTTTGAATTTCTGAATCCTGGTAGAACTGAAGCTGTAGAATATGCACAAATAACAGAAAATAGGAAAGTGAAGAAAAATATAAGCTGATTTAAGAATGGTCACAACTGCGTATGTTTGTTCCCCTCCAGTGACATATTTAGGTCAAAAAATATTCTGCCTAGTTTTGGGAAGATGTTGGAGAACATTTTTGTACCTTTGTTTGAAGCAACAATCAATCCCAAAGACCACAAAGAATTGCACCTTTTCCTCAAATATGTAAGTATGTTTGGATTTTGTGTCTCATATGAAATGGATCATCTCCTACTCCTAAATTTTGTTTGTCTACAGCTGTTTGCAGACATTAAAAAAGCTTCCCTCTCCATATATTACTTGTATTATTGTTTTAAAGCCCTGACATACCACTTAATAAAAGCCTGGGTAAGGTCCTGTTGTCAAATAGTTGCCATTTATTTCCTCTGAAACAGCTCAACAGCTATTTGTCCTCTCAGTAATCCTCTCTATAAAGAATGACCAAAAAACGTTCACATGCTCTTGTGCAGAGGGAACATCATAATCCAGGAAGTGTGCTTTAAGCTTGCCCCTGGGACTGGCCTCCAAAAAACGAGGCAACTGAAAGGAAACATTGTGTAGATCCTGATGGGACTCAGGAGAGAGGTGGGGATGTAGCTCATGGGACGTGATTAAAAGAGACATTTCTGAGTATGCCCCAAACCAGAACTCTGAGGATTCCTGGGAGCTTCTGGCCTTCAGCTGCTTTTCAAATAACAAAGCAGATGAGTTTCAGGGATTATGGTCTGGATCTGAGGGAGTCTTAACAGGCCTACGCCTTCCCCCCCCCCAGCAGTCTGAAGACTTTGGAGCACCTGGGCCTCCTGTTTGTCTCAGAATAA